CCCTAAAAAAAAAAAAAAAAAACAAACAAACAAAAACAGAACAGTGGCCACAGACACGGGTGACTCCACTCCTCTGGGAGTCAACGGGAGCCATGAGCTTGTCCATAAATACTTGTGAAAGGGCTTCAGAAAGTTCGTGGGAAATGCAGGCTATAGGGGAAAAATTGGGGTTCAAATTTTTGCACCTAAATAAACTCATCCTTTAATTCCATTCCCCGTGAACTTCTTGAAGTCCCCATGCACATCAGGTATATACTCAGATTTATTTGCTAGTTTGTGTAAAAACAAGTTACGTTGTAGGGCCTCGTTTTTCACCTGAGTAAAGATCTGAAACCCTTTCACATATGCAGTTCCGCATCAGTGCAAAAGAAAGGACGCTTGTGGGTGCAGACTTTGCGTGTGTCCATCTTCCTGAGCCAGGCAGGTGGAAGTAATGATGTCGAAGTGGGTGGGGCCAAATGAAGAGGAATCATAAAATGCACATGATTATGACATGGTAAACAATCTCATGTGTCTTGTGCACAGGTGGATTCGCAGCTGCGGTCACCACACCTCTGGATGTGGCCAAGACCAGAATTATGCTGGCAAAGGTAAGTGGTGAGACACGTGGTGTGTCCTTGACAGATGCTTCCACCCCTTAGTGTCAGGGGTTAAGGTGTACCTGAAGTGATGGACAGTGGTCCCGCCCCTACGGGTGACGTCGCCTTTACGTGCCTGGGGAACCACTAGTGAAACTGAGCACCAGAGTAGTCTCCACCGTAATCACTGGGACTGGTATCTAGGGAGCCTTTTACTATTTCAAAGATCACTTCACCTACATCGGGTCAGCAAGGGGACTAGGACGTCTGCCTCCCTCTCATTTTCAGATCTTTTTCCTGGTGACAAACCTGAGGCCCAGAGAGGTCGATTAGCTCCATGCCACATGGCAGGTAGGCAGTGGGCTCGATTACGTCATGCTTGGTTTTAACCAGCTAAGCTTAGTTGTCAGAACTATCAAACACTTTTGTCTGGAAGAAAATTTTTTTTTAAAAAGCTAGAAACAAAGTTCAAGGCACATCAGACACATATCTAGACCAAAACAAACCAACCAACCTCCCATCTTCTTAGAAAAGTAGAACAAATGCGGGCAGACTCTCGGTATGTAGTTACAGGACCAAACCGACGACGTTTATTCGATGTGCTTGTTAGCTACTCAGGCACGTTGTGGTTGTACTGTTTATACCGACCAGTGCCCATCTTCCCCAGTCCGTCTGCACCGCCGTCAGTCCTTCCTATTAAATGGTTGCGTGTCAGTGCTTTGGGTGAGCTGTGGGAGGCAGCTATCCTGTGTGACGCCTGGGCCATGTCACTGCTTGCCTGCGTGTCTGAATGTGTATTTCTGGCAGGGCCAGATCCAGGTCCTGATCCTGAGAAACAGCCCCTACCTCACTGTGAGATGCGACTCCGCTGAGGTGCGGGGAACTCAGAGATGACGGATTTCCCCTTGGTGTTTTCATGCAGGCCGGTTCCAGCGCTGCTGGTGGGAGTGTGCTCTCCGCCCTGCACGAGGTCTGGCGGTCGCACGGGCTGGCAGGGTAAGGACGAGCAGATGCTCAGCTGCCTTCCCTTCCTTCTGCTCGTGTTCTTGTTGGGGGCTCTGTCTTTAGACCATGTAAGGTTCTGTCCGATGTTGCATATGCAGGCTCAGGCTGCACAGTCATCCTGACGCGATGTTCTAGCCAGCTATGGTCTTTGCAGGAGAGCAGCCCCATCCTTGATCCAGTGTCCAACCAGAAGGTAGGAAAGCAAGGGACTCTGGATGGTCTCGAGTGTGACAGCTCTCAGGGGTTGAGACTGGCTGCCTGAAGGACACAGTGGCACTGAGACAAGGACTGTGTGGCAGAAAGTTGCTGCTGCTGATTGATGTCCAGCAGGGGCACAGGAGGGCAGAGCGCTGGCCTCTGTGTCACAAGTCAGCCATGCGTGGCTGATGGATGGTGAGTGAACGAGATGGAGGCTCCTGTCTGAGGCTTGTCTGTCCTGAAACCAGGAACAAAGCGATGGTGTGCGGAGAAGGTAGCAGCTTTGATGCCAGTTAGGATGTGGCAGTACAAGAGTCTGCTGTTTCAAATACTGACTGGGCCACATACACAGAGGTGCACGTAGTAGGTCTTAGAGATCATAAGGTCACGTGCCGAATGCCACCATTGTGCTTACTCTGATACAGTTCCCATTTGGTTCTGTGGCACCTGTTGGCCAAATCTCTGCTGTCAACCTGAGATCTGTGGGATCTGTGTCAAGCTGCAGTCTACCGGCCCGAGCGAGTGGTGAGAAGTGACGGTGGGTGATCACCTGGCAAAACGGAACCGCCCAGAGCAGAGAGCTGGAGACCAGTCTTCCCTGTCCCAGTTGTGGCACGGGCCTTACATAAAGCTAAGTAGTGCCTGAATCACAGGCAGAGGAGTGTCACAAATGGGCAAAGGTCCCAATTCTGTTTTCTGTCCCCACTGTCAGCCCTAAAAAGGCAATGTGGATTCTGTGGTTACTTCTGAAAGTCTCTTAGGCCTTGGGCTTTAGTTAAGTATGGATGAGTACTCTAGGCAGCAAAGATGGCCACTTAAGAAATGAGAGTTTGGTCTAGCCCCAGCGGCACAAGTAGGAGGTGCCATGGCATATTGCTTAGTGCTGTGTGGGAGGCCCGGGTCGGACTCCCGGTCCCCAAACAGGCCAGGTGCAGTGCTGCCAGTGGTCTTAGCTACCTGGAGGTTGGGCCAGGAGGATCACGAAGTGACACCCTGTCAAAAATACCTCTCAAAAATAATGCTAAATGTATCCTCTTTTAAAATTTGATAGAGGATAAAAAGTAGCATGACCAAAAATGCTAACTCAATACAAAACCAGTAAACCTCGTCCAAACCTGGGCAGCTGTTCTGAACAGTACCCTAGAAAATCCTGAAGGTTCTCAGAGGTTGAGGTCTCCGTCTCGTTCCCCGACCACATTCTAGGTTTACCAAGGGTTTGAGCCTCTCCACCCTCTAACAGAGCAGTGTCACACTCTTAGGGTGAACGCACATGGTGCCTGCTGTTGTCTCTGTGGTCCAAACAGGCTTCCTGGCAAGAAAGGTGCCAGGCACGCAGTCAGTGCAGTAGCCAGAAAGTGGACGAGAAATCTGCATCCTCGACTGTCCTTCCTGCTTTTCTTCTGTTAATCAACCAACTTTTTGTTTTTCTGGCCCATGCCCTTTATGTGGGTACTGCTCTTGTCATGAGCATCCCTCTGAGCCTTCTGCTCCCTGTCTCACACCTGCAGTCTCACCCGTGCTCTGGCACTGCCTGCGTTTACTGCTAGGCTGTAATTATGCTAATAGAGCCACTGTCATCCAGGGAAACCATAAACTAAATCCATCTGCTTTTTGCCAGGAGCAGCTGAGCTCAGTGGTAGAAGCTGAGCAAGCCAGCAGCTTTCTGAAGTGAGAGAGAAAAGGAGGGAGGAGGAGAGGGAGGACTCAGCAGCCAGAGTGCTCTTCCACCGCCCTCGGCCTGACTGCCCTGCCGGCATCCTCCCTCTCCAAGGCAGGGGCAGGAGATCCATCTGTTCTCTTGGCCAAGGACACTGTGGCCTCGATGCAGAACTTCAAGTTTCTGCCCTCGCTGGCCACCTCATGCAAGAACAATTTACACAGAGTCGAACTGAACAACTTTTTCTCTCAATTTTTTTTAGTCTTCTCTAGAATTTTGTTATTTCTTGGCTAGAAAAAGGTTGTGCAGGACTTTCATGATTTAAATCCTTTGTTGGCCAAGGGCCCTACCAGACTGTCCTGTGTTCCTGCATCTCCTCAGTAGCGTAGCAGGTCGTCAGGAGGGAAGCAGCCTCTGCACAGGTAGCTGGCATGTCCTCTTGCTGGGCTCTCTCTGAGCCGTTTGCTTGCACAGAGATCTGGCCATTTCTTAAAGGACATACACCTGCTGCTGGCATAACCTGATCATTTTCAGTTTTCCTCCCTAGACCTGATCCAAAGGCTTCTCACGTGTGTCCACCCGTCCCGACTTTCTGCTTGCACACCCAATATTCTTGGTGAGAATGTTCAACACGACAGTGGGACAGGCAGGGACTGTCTTGGGATCCTGCTGGCAGTGAGAACAGCCGTCAGTCTAGGGCACATCCCTCCCAGGTTGTGCAAACACGTGCTGCTGTCCATACCGCTCTGGTCCCTCTCTCGTACATGTTTCCGTTGGTGCCTATGGACGGCTGTGTTCTTCCCAGCTGCCTGGTCATGTTATTTAAACTGGATACTGCCAGAGCTAGGTCATTTGCAGTGTTTCTTTTTCATCGATGCCATGATGAACATCTGTTTAAAGGCAGACTCCAGTTTACACTTCCTGCCTCTGTTCTTGTACTTGGCATTTCTGTAGTTACGGTGAAGTTCCTTCAGAAGCATCAGGGACTGAGAACCTGTGGAGGCACTCTCTCTTCCCAGCCCGTTTGCCTTTTATGTCCTCCACTAGAGAGGAAAAGAAAACAGGGACTCCACGGAGATTCAACTCCTCATTGTGGCTTCACATTTGTGGGTCTTGAGGACAGAGTATGACGGTCACCAGGAGCAGGAACTGGACTAACAGAGACCATCTGAGAAGGCAAGGCTGGGAAGGGCCTTCCAGCCTCACCCACGACTCAGCCTGTGTCTCCTTTAAAAAAGCAAAGTCGGGAACTGGCAAATGGTGTGGTGGTTAAGGTGCTGGACACTCCCACGTAGTTGACCACGATTCAAGTCCTGGACCTGGTGGCTCGCTCTCTCTCTGGTCAAATTAAAATGAATGAGCGAATGAATGAAATTAAACTTTTTTTTTTTTAAAGTCACTCCTGTTGTCTATTTTTATTTAGAGTTTTTTTTGCTAGAGGGCATTATGTGCTGACTGGAGAGCGACGGACGGGGAAAGTGAGAAATCATGAAATCACCCCCCCTCACAGCGGGGGATGGCCACGGTACAATCCTGTATTCTCTTGGGATTTGGGGCATGTTTTAAGTTGCCAGGTCTGAGACTCAAACCGCAGTCAACCATGTGGAAGTCTAGCACCTTGACCACTACGCCACCTGTTGTTCCCCTCTATTGTCTCTAAAAGAAAAAAAATGGACCAAAAGTGTTAGAGAACTTGCTGGGACAGAATCATCCCTTGCCTTCATTTGAGTGCTCACAAGCGAGCTGCTTGGTAGCTGCTTGGTATTTAGGCACTTGAGCCAGCACACAGCTGGGCTCGGCCTTCCACACGCCTCCTTGGGAATGTAATTCAGTGCCACCTAGAAGGAAAATGCACATGGTGTGTTCTGCGTGGGGCTTAATGAGCATGGTGTGTTGAGCACGCTGTGGGCGCTGGAATGTAGCTTTTTTTTTTTTTTTTTAATAACACAAATTTCTTTTCTTCCCCCCTCTAGATTATTTGCAGGTGTCTTCCCTCGAATGGCAGCAATCAGTCTGGGAGGTTTCATCTTTCTGGGTGCTTATGACCAAACACACAGCTTCTTGCTAAAAGTTAGCAGACAGAGTCCGTGAAGCAGAGACAGCCTCGGGTCCATGCCCGTCAGGAAAGGCAGCTGCCAGGAGACCCCTCGCTTCCAGGGAGCAGCTGTTTGGCCATCTGAACACCACCCAGATCTTCGGAGCTTTCATTTGTTCTGTGGGCTCGTCCCAGGTCCTGCCACCTAGCATTGGAGTCAGAAGGCAAGCTTTTGTGAAGAGTGGCTAGACTTGGGGGAAAGTAGAATATGTGGGTGTTTCTGCCCTGGGTTAATGCCTATTGTGTAAAGTTGCTTTGTTTAAACAGAATGAACTACAGGTACATAGCAAGCATTCTTTCTGGGTAACCAGTCTGTTTTCAATTCCCCTCAGAGTTCACCTATAAAAACAAAATCATGTTATTTTACAGAGAAGTGTCCAAGGACCCAAGAGCCTAGGGGGGCCCAGCTCGCCTCGGGAGGAGGGCATGGTGGGTCCCCTGGAGTAGCTACGTCCTCTTTTCCGTCTTCGGCTGATGGGGCAGCCTGGGCCAGCTTTGGAAACTGCACTGCCTCCCTGCAGTAAGATTGTTGTCCGGAGTTTCAAGCTCGGTGTTAAAGGTTGCTGCATTTGGAGATTTGGAGCTTGACTAACAAGCTCCAGGTGTAGAAAAATTCAGAGTGCAATCTCAGGAATCCAGAAGTGTATGTCTTCCCTGGAGGAATGCTATGAGTCTGCTTAGCCTAATTCAGGGAAAAAGATAATTAAAGGCAGAATGACTGCATTTCTTAGAGCATCTCTAATTAAATAGGAAGACATGCTGGTTAAAGTTAGGAAAAATGGCCACAACCATACACTTAACATTTATAAATGAACCTTTATTAAAGACACTTCAATGGCATTTGTTAGACACTTCAATATTTTACATGTTTTTCAATGTACACTGTACCAAAATTTCTATAAATAAATAACTTTGTACATAAAAGTAATACTTCCTCTTTCACATTGCCTCTCAGAAGCAGCAAATTCACATATTTTGTGGAAGTAACATTAACCAGTTAACTGTTCAACAAATTTCACTGCTCACCCTCTGGAGCAGCGCTGACACCTGACAGGAAGTGAACACAGGTAACCATTTTGTCAATACTCCCTTTAGCTTGTAGCCAAAGGAACTTGCTTTCTGAGATTGTAAGGACCTTGTTTTGATGTAATTTTTACAGAATTATGCATTGGCACTCTACAAGATGGTTAGCTGCAGGTCTCAAAAGTGCAAATATACCCAGAACCCAGGTTACGGGCTAAGCGTGAACAGTCCGAGCCCAGCCCCGCCTGTGCACAGGCCTGCTCTGGGTCCTCAGTAGAAGCAAGCTACCCCTGAAAAGTAAAAAATGTTACCGTCTCCTAAGGCCAATGTAACATCTGTCATCTGTCGTACTGGCAGAACTAAAACATCACTATTGAAAAATCCACAGGAACCAATACCAGCAGCCTTTACCTTAATTAAGAGCCTCTTTGCTTTTCATCGTAACACAAGCTTCAAAAAAAGGAAGGGCAGTGTGCTTGCTTGTTCCAAGCAGTTGCCTGGGGTGGACCAACCACCTGCTCATTCTACTCCTTAAGGGAAGGAGCTCAGTCTAGAAGAAAAAGTCACTCACTGCAGGTGGATGACAGCTGCAGCCCAGGGTCCCATGCTGGTCAGCCAGGATGTCACTGGTACCACAAATGAGACCTCCAAGTTAAAGCAGCCTAGGGCGTCTGTTTTATAAAGTCCACACCAAATACAGGAACTTTCTACCCACTGGCAACTCCTAGGAACAAAGGTGGTTTAACCTCTGTAGACTCCAGCCATGAGTTAAGGCACCAGGACTAATCCCCCCCCACCCCAACAGCAACCTGATATGAAAAATAATGTCAAAATTGTGTAATTTTTTTTGTTAACCATGCACTAAAGATTAAAATAGCCTCTGTAAAAGATATATAATATATATGAAATCTCTGAAAACTCTTATGTACAATGGTATCAAATACTTTTCAGCCTTTGTACACAAATAGAATCTTGCATTTCTGTGCTTCAGATGCAAGTCCTTTGAACGACTGGTACTCCACATGGAAGTTAAAACTATATACAAATCAGCGACGCTTGAACCCAAGCTTCCTCACAGCCTCTACCTCTTCCCCGTAGAGACCAACACGACAAGAGCTGAGGTAGATAAAGCCTAGCTTTTCGGTGCCAACAGCAGTGGCACCCTCTGTGTCCCAGCGAGCTGCCCTGTCGGTGGTGTGGACTCCACACTGGAGTCGTGTGCCTTGGGAAGGTGGCCACTGGAAGCCAGCAGGTGCTGGACCTCAGTGCGGATGGCAGGAAAGTCCGAGGCAACTCCTGGGAGCTTGGGGCTGCCGGACGGGGCTGCGGCTGAAGGCTGCAGATCTGTACAGTCCAGGTCATACAGCCTGGCTAAAGTCCAGGATGAGTCCCCTATGGGAAAAAAGAGGGCATGTCAGACACAGCAGCATGACCACCGAGGAGGACTCCTCAGAACACAATAAAAGGTCACCTTTTTCATCAAGAGATGCCACTGGCTTTTTCTTCAAGGGTGTCAGCATTCTATCGTGGTTACTGGGGTACAGGGACCCTCTGCAGTCAGTGTGAGACCTGTCAACGACCCCACTGCTCTGATGAGGTGGAAGATGTCCTCGGTCACTCTGACTGGGGTCCTGGCCACTTAGTGTATTTGGCTGTATGCTGTCTCCAGGCACAGATTGAGGGTAGGTGGCTTGCTCCTTGGAGTAACTGTCCGTGTCAGTGTTGCAGTCCCCGCGTACACCCGGGCCACTATGTTCTGAAGGGTAGAGCCAAAGACAGATTACTGAGTCTCCACACATGGGACAGACTGTGTAAGTACTCCTGTTCTTGCCAAAGTGGTTCACAGAAAATGAACACATTCCAGATCAAGTTAATTTTGTATTCGAAGAACACAGACTACTTGGATCATGGGATTAAAAAAAATCTTATTTCAGGTATTCTGCTGTGTTAGGTATAGCTTCAAAATAGCCCTGGTGAAAAGGCTAAAAACTCTACATTTATGTGGCCCTAGACCCTTAAGGTACCTAGAAATCTAGAAAACTCAAGCAAGTCTCATATTTACTTGAGAGAAGCCCTACCATAAAAATAAAAGAGGCCGGGAACCAGCAGTTAGCGTAATGGCTATGTCGCTGGACTCCCACATAGTCGACCGCGGTTCGCGTCCCGGACCCGGTGGCTTAAAACTCACGCCGGGCGCGTGTGCGTGCGTGCCCAAGATCCCAAGAGGAGAATGGAGGAGAAGGGATTGCGGCGTGACCATCCCCTCTGGGGGGTGATTTCTCGCTTTCTGTCTCTGTGTCTCTCTCTCTCTGTCTGGCGAGCGCACGCGCCCTACAGAGAATGGAAGAGAAGGGATTGTGGCGTGACCATCCCCCCGGGGGGTGATTTGATTTTTTCTGTTTCTGTCTCTCTCTGTCTGGCGAGCGCACGCGCCCTACAGTGAAAATCTCTCAAAAAAAAAAAAAGAGGCCGAGGCCACAGCTTCTTCACATTTTGGAGAGAATGCATAGACCAATGAGTCTTTTTCCCTTTCACTTGGTTAAAGGTCAACAGAAATTTCTAATTCAGAAACGACTTGTCCTGATATCTGTCCTGATGAAAGCACCTCATACCCATCTTATGCGGCCCAGCTGTCCCGCTGGCTTTCTCCACCGTTTTCCAGGGCTCTCTGTTATATCCAACGCAGAGCTTTGGTGGCCTGCATGCAATGCCGTGAGCTTCGGCCTCGGGGAAAAGGCCCACATCCCTCAGACACACACCTGCAATAGATGGTGAGCATTAGACATGCTGAGCCTAGCATGTCGCGTCTTAGGAAGGTGACATACAAAGCTCCTAGAACACAGTCAGTTTTTAGAGGGGCAGATTGGTGAGCTAAGTAAGCGATCCAACAAGGAGAAACATTTTCAGCTCTCATCTTCCTGGCAGCCAGGCTTGGGAGCCTTGGGAGCCAGGCCCAGCGTGTAGCTCCTGGAAAGCTAACCTTTACAACGCCAGGCAAGTGCACTGACTCCCCCACTGTCTGAAGTAGTTCGCTCTAGAAGAGCTTTCTACAGTGAGGCTGGATGGCAGAGCAGAGCCAACACTTACCCTGTACACACAGGTTACTTTTCATATTTCAAAGGGCCCGAACTGTCCTTTGTAGCCATTACGGAAGGCAGGAAATACTGCCTTAGCCTAACCGGGAATGCTAGGCCAGCATCATGACAAGATTTTTGGAACCTGCACCAATTAAGTCCAAGACACAAGAGAAGACTGGTCACACCACTTCCCAGTCCAGCAACATGAGGCACCTGGCTTGGGAAGGAGCTGAAGGTGGAAAAGTCACACCAGAGCTCTGCTTCATTGGGAAAGAGGCCTTACCGTTGCTCTCAATGTGCCCATTGGCCTGATGGCTTCCCTCAGTCCTAACCACAGTTTCCTGTCGGTCAGAAAGGGTGCCTTGAGAAGAGAGGTAACTTGGAACATCTGGTGGCACAATGGTTTCATCTGTAAGGAGACAGGACAATGGTCTTACAAGCAATGCAGACACACGTCCCTTGTCAGACTTAGAACCAAGATCTGCCCCTTCTCCCCCAACATCCACCAAGGCAGTAGAGTCCACAGATGCAAGGCGCCCTCCTGGCACCTGGGGAGCCTTACTGACCACCGTGTGTAAAAAGCAGGGCAGTCAGTTGTCTAAGACCACAGTGACTGCGAAGAGCAGTCCACCCGTACGACAGCAGGTGCCTAGGCAGGATGCGTCTGAGTCAGAACTGCAGAGTTCATCACGTCCTCCTGATTCAGAGTATTCCCATAGGATGTTATATTCCCAAAAGTTAAAACACTATCATCAGGAGTAAAGCCTCAGCTTCCAGGATGACTCCATATTCCCAGCAGTCTGAGGGTTGTGAGATGCAGGGGAAAGCCCCTGGCATTGGCCTCTTTCGCCAGTGCCCACAGCACCTACCGGTGTTGGTGACGCTGTACTCCTCGCTCTTCTTCCTGGTCTGGTAGATGATGCACACCCAGACCAGCGAGGTCAGGACGATGCTGCACACCACGGCGATAGTGAAGATGCCCACGGTGGTCCCGTCCTTCCTGCAGCCAGCGGTGGGCAAGATGCTCAGCTGGCTGTGTGCACGCTCCGTGCCTAGGGCGTTGGACATCTCGCAGGTGTACTGGCCCGCGTCCTCGGCCACCACGTTCTGAACGACAAGCAGCTGGTTGCCAGGGGTGAAGTGATGGCGCTCGGTGAGGCTCAGTGGGAGGTCTCCCTTGAGCCAAGTGATGCGGGGCTGAGGGCTCCCGGTTGCCTTGCACTGGAGGGCCACCGTTTCTCCCATAGACACCACACGGTCTTCCAAGGGCACCACTAAGGACGGGGTCTCTGCAAGAAGTCCGCAGAAACCCGGAAGTTATTCACGGCCACAGATCTGCCTTGTCTTCTCGACAAGGGACAAATGCAGCACTGGAATGCCACCCGAGATCATTTATCAATGGCAAGCCTTTCCAAATCCTCTGACCATGGCCGGAACGTTTCCACTGTAGGGGCGGGGTTCAACAAGAAGGAACCGACCCCGGCCACAGAAGCCCCCACTGTTCCCCAACTGCCCGGTGACAGACCTCTGTCCCTATTCTCGACCAGGACTATACTCATCCTACCCGACTCAGAGGGCAGTTCTACCTAGTGCTCTGTGCGCACTCTCTTAATTCACTAATATTTTTCTTGTTAATTTATCCACTTTTTTTTTTAAACAATGGAATGACTATTCAAAAAAAAAATTAGAAAGCAGCCCAAAGTTTTAGACCAAGTAATAAAAGCCCATGACCCTGAGCTATGAGCAGTTTGAGAGCCTTGCCTCTAGGTAATTGTGACATTTATGAGTCTTTCCCTCTCGCGTGTACACACACACACACACACACACAGAGCGAACCTAAGACAGTCAGGGTGGCATTAGCTGAAATGGAGCCGGCCGAGTTCTGGGCAGTACAGCTGTAAACCCCCATGTCATCTATCTTCACGTCAGTGATGAAGAACACGTCGTCATCCGGCATGACGTGCATGCGTCGCTCACGAGCAGCAGGGAAGTCTGTGCCTCCATCCTTCTGCCAGGCAATCTGGGGATTGGGGTGGCCAGTCGCGGCACACTCAAGGCGGGCCATGGTGCCAGTCCGGATGGCGATGTCATGGGGCATTTTGGTGAAAGATGGCAACACTGAAAAAATACAGACAAGGTGGGGTTATCGGACAGTAGAGGCAGAGCCAAGAAAGCCCTCAGCCTCTGGCACTGTGCCTGGTGGTTGGTTCACCTCCTCCCCACCTCCTGCTGCCCCCTGTGGAAGAGCAGCCGTGGGTTTCCATGGACCCCCGCTGCTCCCACCACAAGTGGAACTTCCCATTGTTTTTTCTTGTACATTATGGGCTGGCCATAATCCCCTCAGAGGTAAGGCCTCTTATCACATATTTCCTCTACCGAAGAGACCTGATTGGGACAAGTGTGGGAGGGCCGTGCATGTGCACACACACGGCAGGGAGCATGCAGCCAAAGTCGCCTGGAGACCTGCACCCGACAGTGGCAGCAAACACCCCACGTGTCAGGCTTCACCACAGTTCCTGTCCAGGCAGCTCTAGAAGACAGTCTACCAGTTCACCGAATCTCTAAGGTGCAGTGAGGGGGTCCTGAGAGCCAGTGAAGACAACACAGCCAGAGTCTGCTAGATGGGTGTTCTGTGGTCCATGGAGCCCAAGGAGCATAATGGATCCAGCACTGCAGACTGCCCATGAACCAGCTCTTCGGATTAGAGGTCCAGTAATCAGGACACATGCTGGGTTACTGGGGTGGGGACGGTTAACTACTATAGTTGCTGCCCTCTCCCCTCTCGACCCCACACATGACAACCAACAGAAGCCCTGAAAAAAAGTCACCTTGACAGGCTCCGAGGCTACTTACAGCCCACCCAATACGTGGCATGTCAGGCCAGGTGCACACCCCAGCTCTGCGCTTCACCACAGCTGGACTGGTGGGGACTTGGCCCCAAGGCTGTGCCATCTATACAAAGAGAAGCAGCCTCCCCAAGGGATGCTCAGAACCTGGAAACCAACTACCTGGCTTTACAGAAGATAATAAATGGATCAAAATATAACACTTAGCTCCACTATTTAACACCTTGATTGTAAAAGGTACCAAAACAAACTATTGAGGACAACCCTTCAGTCTGCAAAGCTGGCCCTGGGGCACACACAAGGAACAGTATAATTTAGTAATTGTGTCCCAAAGAAACTCATGAGTCTGTCTTGGTCATTCCTATGTGAATAAATGAAAGAGCCACCACGAGTAGGAATCTCATCTTAGCCCCTGTGCCCTCGCCAAGATGACATTGCATACCGTTCACTGTGAGCCTGGCCTTGTGTGAGTAGGTGGAGCCGAAGTGGTTGGTGATGATGCACTGGTAGCGGCCCTCGTGCCCAAAAGTGACCCGACGGAGGTGCAGGATGGTGGTATACTCCATCACTTCCCCATCCTGCGCACGGACATGAGCGAAGTTCTCCATGTCGGCGTTGGCCAGGACCTCATTGTCCTTCTTCCAGGCAAAGGTCATAGGTGAGCTGCTGCTGCTGGCGGCTGAGCATGTAAAGCGGATATCCTTCCCTGCCACAGCCATGGTCGTCTCGGGCTGGGTGATGATCTGTGGCTTCGGGAAGTCATCTGGGAACAACAGGGCCAACATTAAGTCACTCAGGCTGTGAGTACACACGGACCAGCTTCTGCTGGAGCTAAGAAACTGGATCAGACACTGAGCAGGAACCAGATCTTTCATGGTCCCTGTGCATCGTCAGCCCCAGCAGACACCATGACTGACTGTTCATCCTGTTATAACAGTGCTCACTTCTACAATGAGACTCCTTGGTTAGAAATTAATCCGAAGCAGTCAATTATCAGACCACCCCACAGTATCCTTGCAAGGTCTACAACCAGTTTTACCTGCTGACTTTCACACACGACATACCTACCCAGAGTCAGCACCTCTGGTTACGACCACACAGACCTTACCACATACCTCACTCCAGAAGAAGCACTTCCAGAACATCAGAATAAAGACTTACAAAACCCGCACTTCCATAAAACAATAAAAATACCAGCACAGGTGATCAAAGTCTTTTTTTCCCCAGAATTCTAAAACGCCAAGGCCTTTCAACAGTCCTTGGGGTGCTAATTCAAGGAAACAGCTACATCTTGGTAAGAAAGGTGAGTGTTGTGGTGCTTCACTTATCCTAAGTCCTATTTATCTCTCCCCAGCTCCAGGGGAGCCTTCAAATCCAGCAGCCTAGCAACCTTTGAGGGGAACAGAATGGGACTGGATCCCCTAGAAACACCATCCATCACTGTCACCATGTGACCCGTATGGGAACAACCTGGAAAGTCTCATTCACAGGGTTTGCTTTCCTTCCACTGGCTGTAGTCTGTTCTGTAAGGGAGGCATGCCACACCACCTGACAGGAACAGCCAGCAGCCACTGGCGAACAGCACGGCAGTCTGAAGGTACACTCCCAACTAGAGTAAACAAGAAGCTGGCCAAAAAACACACAGAGGAAAATCAATACATGTTGACAGTGGGCTTTGAGAACATTCAGCCTATTCCTGGGGATCTAGAAAGCTGCATGCATACGCAGGGCTTCGCAGCCCTGGAAATGCAGGGAAGGCCTCAGAGGGTCATTTCTCACCTATGGTTGAACTAGAGACTCTACAAACAGGAAGGGATGGCTCATCCCCACATACGCACACGTGCATGCTGGGTAAAGGATGGGAAACTTACTTGTTGACGTGACAAGGACTTCCCTGTCCGTCATCAGCTAGTCACCAAGCTAACCAGGAAGGTGCTATACAGAGAAAGGTGCTATACAGCTTTTGTCCAGGAAAAGTCAGAACGAACTAACAGTAAACTTGGGGGAGTCAAGGGAGACTCGTCTTCAGAGTTGCTACAATACTTTCTAAGAATTTTTTTAAAGAAGTTTTCGTCTTAGGGCACGTGGGGAGACAGAGACAATGAAAGAGAAAAGTGAGGAATCATCTGGGGAGGTGGAGGGAATGGCCATGCCACAGTCCCTTCTTTAACTGAGATCTTGGACACGTGCATGCATGTGTGTACACACACACCTGGCATGACTTTCAAGCCACCAGGGCCTGAGTCTTGAACTGTGGTTGGGCATGTGGGAGTCCAGTGACCTACCTTCTATGTCATCTGCTGGTCTCCACAGTATTTTATTTTAAATCCCTAATTTTTAACAAAAAATTATAAAACATTCAAGAGAACAGGGGTGGGAAAGCCAACAAACTTTCCCTGAGGAAGCCCAGATCTTAGACATGGGGGAGGGGGGAGGCAAGCAGCTAGCATGGTGGTTAAGGCACTGGACTCCCACTGGTGATCACAGTTTGAGTCCCAGACCTGATGGCTTGCTTTCCCACTTCCCTCTCTCTGATGAGCACATGTGTCCTATAGCAAATTAAAAATAATAATAAACTTAAAACAAAGAGGCTTGAAATCAGCTATTACTAACATGTTTGCAAAGAAACAAGAGGAAACCACATCTAAAATAAAGTATTAGAATAATTTATTTTTTGGAGAGGTTTTTGCTACAGGGTGTGTGTGCTAGCTAGAAAGACAGAGACAGAGAGATAGAAAGCGAGAAATCACCCCCCAGGGGGGATGGCCACACCACAGTCCCTTCTCCACTCTTCTTCTCTTGGGATCTTGGGCACGCATGCACATATGCCCATTGAGTTTAAGCCAGTGGGTCCAGGACTTGAACCGCAGTCAACTACATGGGAGTCGAATGACATAGCCATTACACTATCTGCTGGTCCTGAGAATACTTTCTTACACGAGAGAATATCAATAAACAGAAATTACAGAAATGGATCAAATATAAATTTGAGCTTATAAGTACGATAATTAAAATGAAAATTCACCCCAGGGGGTCAACAGTAGAATGGAGTTGGCAGAATCAAGAATCAGTGAATTTGAGGCAACACAACTGAGATTATCCCGTCTGTTAACCATAAGGAAAAGGGATGGAAAAAAGGAACAGAACCACGGAGACCAGTGAGACAAAAACAAGCGTAAGAACATGTAAATAATGGAAGTCCATGAAGAAAAAAGGGAAAAGAGAAAGTTATATAAACAATAGTCTCAATTTCCCAAATCTAATGGAAAACATTCATCTACACATCTAAGGAGCTTAAGGAACTCCAAATAAAAGGTATTCAGATGGACACCCAGAAATATTATAGTTAAGGTGTGAAATGCCAAAGACAAAGAATTTTGACAACAGCCAAAGTGAAATAACTCATCAAATACGGGGATCCTCTATCACGTTAATAGCTGATTTCTCGTCAAAAGTAGAGGCAGGCAATAGAGAAATACACTCAAATTGGTACAAGAAAGACTCAGATTTCTGTATCCAGCAAAACCATCCATCAAAAATAGAGGAGGAGGACCAGCAGATGGCAGAATGGTTACATCACTGGACTCCCATGTAGTCAACCATGGTCCGGTGGCTTAAAGATCAGACTGGGCATGTGCACATGCATACCCAAGATCCCACGAGGAGAATGGAGGAGATAGGATGTGGCCATTCCCCAGGGGGTGATTCTTGTTCTCTGTCTTTGGTGAGTGAGCACACCCTATAACAAAAATAACTTAAAAAAAAATAGGAGGAATTAAAACATACTCAAACTTAAAGAATAAAAATCAACAACAAAAAACACAATACAGAGAAAATTTACTGCTACCAGACCTGCCCGACAAGAAAGTCTGAAGAGAGTACTGTGAGGCTGAAATCAAAGAACATTAGAGAAATTAGACAATACTTTGAGACGAATGACGTAAAACAAACTGCAATTAAAACAGTACATATAGATTTGTAGGATAAACACCTATATTAAAGATATCAAATTAATATCTAACCTTTTACTTTAAGAAATTAGACAAAGAGAACAGACTTACCTAAAGCAGAAGGAAAGAAATAAAGATGACAGTGCGAACTAATGAGAGAGAATAGAAAAGTGGTTCTCCCGGGACGCGAACCGTGGTCGACTACGTGGGAGTCCAGTGACATAGCCATTATGCTAACTGCTGGTCCTACCTCAAAACCCTTTTTGCTAGACTGGTGGGTTGAGGGAGTTTAAAATTACTAAGATCAAGAATGCAAGTGGGAACACTTCTACCAAACTTCCAGTAATAAAAAGGAACATGGGAAACAGCAAAATAACTGCATGCCATACAAAATTAAGTAACATAGCTGAAATACAGAAATTTTCATTCCTACACAAAACTAACAAGACCGAACTCAAGAAGAAAGAGAAATTCTGAATAGATACTAGTCAAGAGGCTAAATCAGTAATTCAGAAACTTCTTACAAAGATAAGCCAAGATCCAAATAGTTACATGGTGAATTCTATCAAACATTTAAAGAATTACTACTAACCCTTTCTAAACACTTCCAAAAATAAAGGGACTACTTACCAACTCATTCACAGAAAAAACCCTAAAGAACAATATCCTTTATGAGTACAGCTGCAAAAATCTTCAACAGAATATTTGTAAACTGAGTCCTAAAATATATGAAAGGGATTATGCACCACGAGCAAGCTGGATGGATCACAGGAAAACAAGGCTGATTTAAAGTCCAAAAATCAATGTAATGCACATTATCAATAAAATAAAGGAAAAAAACTCCATCTGATCTCCTCAAAAGATGCAAGAAAAAAAAATCTGACAGAATCTACTACCTTTTTTTAAAGAATTATTTTATTTAACTTTATTTATTATTATTATCATTATTATTTTCCAGTTTGATCAGAGACAGAAAGAGAGTGATTAAGTGGGAAAGCAAGCCACCAGGTCCGAGACTTGAACCGTGGTCAGCCATGTGGGAGTCCAGTACCCTTAACCACCATGCAACCTGCTGGCCCCACCCTCATCACTTTTATTCACTGTACTGGAGCTGTTAGCCAGAGCAATTAGGCAAGAACAAGAAATGAGAACAATCCAGATGGGAAAAGTTGTGGTAAAACTATTGTTTCACAAATGACATGATGATCAGGGAACCTGATCATTAGGCAGTTAGCGTAATGGCTATGTTGCTGGACTCCCATGTAGTCGACCGTGGTTCGCATCCCTGACCCGGTGGCTTAAAACTCACGCCAGGCGCGTGTGCGTGCGTGCCCAAGATCCCGAGAGGAGAATGGAGGAGAAGGGATTGCGGCGTGACCATCCCCCCTGGGGGGTGATTTCTCACTTTCTGTCTCTCTCTGTCTCTGTCTGGTGAGCGCACACACCCTATAGCGAAAACCTCTCAAAAAAAAAAAAATGACATGATGATCATATATTAAAAACGTACTAAGGGATTCACTAAAAAAATCCATTAGAATAAATGTCAACAGAGTTGCAGGATACAAAATTCAATTGCCTATCTGGAGTAGTGAAAATCTGAAAATGAAATTCAAGACTCCATTTACAATAATATAAAACATAACCAGGAACAAATTTAACAGACGTGCAAAAATTGTATACTAAAAACTACAAAACAAAGTGAAAAGAAATTAAAAAAAAAAAAAAGGAAAGACCTTCCATGTTCATAGGTTAGGCAATAATGCTGTTAAGATTTAGGCAGTACTGTCCAAATTACTCCAAATGGAGTAAGTATAATCTCTTATTGAAATCCAAGTTTCCTGTATTGCAGAATTTGAAAGGCTGATCAAAAAAATTACTGGGAAGTGGCAAGGGACTCATAACCACCTTGAAAAAGAAGAAAATTACAGAGCTACGCAAAAGCTAAAATCATAAAACTCTTCCAAGAAAATAGAGGAGTACATCTTTGTGACTGTCTTAGGTAACATTTTCTTAGAAATGGTATCAAAATTACAAATGATACAAAAAAAAAAACCTAGACTACACTAGTACTTAAAAGTTTTACACTTCATCATTAAAAAAAAAGAAAAACAACCCTCAGACTGGCAGCACATACTGGCAAATCTTAATATTAATCCCTGATAAGGGTCTAGTATCCAGAATATATGAAGAACTCTTAGAAGTAGTTAAAAAGAAAGAAACATGGACAAGTTATTTGAATAGCCATTTTTTCCAAAGGAGATAAACGCTCATACGTATGAATAAGCATATTAAAACATGTTCAACATCCTTAGTCACTAAGGAAATGGAAATCAAGACCACCATAAGACTCTACTTCACAGCCACGAGTACGCCCAAAGTGGGAGAGAGAGATAATCAGGGGCTGACGAAGATGGGAAGAATCTGAAATTTTACACATTGCTGGTGGGGGTATGAAACTATGAAGTAACTTTGGGAAACAGTTTGGCATTTCCTTACAAGTTAAATATAGAGTTAACAACTGAGCAATTCCACTCCTATGTATAGGTCGAAAAGAATTCCCACAAAAACTTGTACATGAATGTTTATAGCAACATTCATAACCACCATGCAACCTGCTGGCCCTGCCCTCATAATTCAAAAAAATGAGCACGACCTAACGTCTGTTATCTGATGAACAGATGAAATGAACATCCACACTACAGGACAGTAGTCAGACCTAAGCATAGCAGTTAAGCCCTGTGTGGTGGGTGCCAGATCCCACAGGGTCCACCACAGTTTGACTCTCGACCCTGGTGGCTTACAAAACATGCCTGGTGTGTGTGTGTGTGCACGCATCCCCCAAATCCAGATGAGAAAAAATTGGGGAAAGGGACTATGGTGTGACTACCTCCCATTGACGGGGTGTGTGTGCGCGCATCCCCCAAATCCAGATGAAAAAAAAATTGGGGAAAGGGACTATGGTGTGACTACCTCCCATTGACGGGGTCGCTTTCTCGCCCTGGTTCGCATATGTGCCTACCGACCAAAAACGGGTAAAGTACTCATACATGCTTTAAAAAACATGCTAAGTGAGGAAACCATGTACAAAAGACCATACATTAAATAGTTCCGTTTATATTAAATGTCCACAGTAGGCAAATCCTAGACACACTGTAGATCGGTTAGTGCAATGCTCTGGGGGCAGGGAGAATATAGAATGCCTAACAGTAATGGGGCTTCTTGACTAACATGTTCTGCAATTAGATAACGAGTTTTGCACATCCTAAAAATTACTGAGTTGGGGACCGGCAAAGGGCATAAAGGTTATGTCGCTGGACTCCACATGGCCAACCACAGTTCAAGTCCCAGCCCTGGTCGCTTAAGACTCATGCCAGGCATGTGTGTATGCGCATGTACACGCACCCAAGATCCCGGGAGGAGACTGGAGGAGAAGGGATTGCATTTCTCATTTTCTGTCTGTCTCTGGCGAGGCACACACCCACTAGCAAAAAAAAACCCCAAAAACAAAAAACTTAAAAACTACTGAAATGTACACTCCTGCTTAGAGCAAAACCAGGAATGACTACAAATTCATCTCCTCTTATTGATCTTCCTGACAGTAAGGATGGTCATTCCTCTCTGAGCTAGCCCGTGTGCATGTGTCTTTTCAGCTGTTCAGCTTTTTTTTTATACTATTTGCAACCAAACGCAGATCCTGAAGACCTTTAGTCACAAAGATGGGAAGAGCTATATTCCGACAATCAGAAAGGAAAAAATTTAAAGCTGCAAGTGCAGACTTCTGTGGTTTGGAGAAAAAGCACCAGTGCAAGTCAACACCAAGGAATCCTTTTTACTACAGCAGCTGTTCTCTGGAGACCCGTTCTTCCTGTGTTTAACCTCTCATTCTTGGGGTGGAAAGAAACACACATTAGAGCCTGGCCTCACTCACTGAGTAGCCTCCCAGCTAGACCCGGGCATCAGAGCCCTTCTGAAACACCAGCCCCGTCCTCCTGTGACGATTACTCTGATCTGTAATTGAACCATCGCCTACTCCCGTCTGATGAAATGCATGTAGTCCAAGAACCACATAATGAGGCGACTGTTCGGTAAATGCTACGTGTGGTTTCAGTGGGATATGAACTGCATCCAGCAGCTGATTTGTACCCATGCGTCGGGGTTTACCCTGATCACAGGAATTACTCCCATAATGAAGCGTTCTTCCTGGCCTCCCTGCCCTTTGTGGGGGGGGAAAAAAAAAAAAAGAAAAAAAAACACAAAGATGGTCTTACCACACACGAAACTCTCCGGCGACACAGAGAAAATGCTCTGGCCCTTCAGGGACTCTGGGTGGGCACAGGTGGCTGTCACGAAGGACTGCAGCATCCTGCCCACTAGCCACGGGGGGAACCACTTCAGCTGGCAGTCGCACAGGAAGCTGTCACTGCTGATGTGGCTGAAAGGAAAACAAGACTGACATGTAAGGTGTGACGGCAGGAGGGGTACGCCCCCGTACCGAGTGATCGATCGCCCTCTCATCAGCTTCTGATGTTAATGCCAGCAAGAAAGAGCGGGGAAATCCTAATTCTCACATTTCCTCTCCAGGGACCTGGAGCAGGGTATCTATCTAAGCAGCGACTCTGATAACCTGTGGCTTCCGAGTCAGGAATGAAATCGGAGTTTCTGCATGCCTGATGGGCTCCCATGTGAGGACGAGCCTGCTAGCCTCAGGTCCACACTTGAAAGAGCAACAACCTAGAGTTGACCCACAGGAGTCAGACGCTGCTCCTTCCTATGTGACCCTGGGGATGCCTTTTAAGCTGTCCCGGCCCCCGTACCATTCCCCAGAGGCTGAGCGAGCACTGCCCTCTCTCTGGTTCTTCCCACTTCCCTGACACGCTACTTAGAGCTTCCTAACTCCATCTGGGCCTTTGATGTAAATTCTGCAACAAGTTCTGAGTAGGGCCCTTCGATGTGGCTGTTATGTTTTGCTTTGGCAAAGCTGGATGTTTTCTTACTTCCCAGTGTAAGCCTCGGCAACCTGCTTCGCTTGTGTGTGTGTTTATCTCTGCACCAGCATTCAGGAGGCCAGGATTCAGCTCCGCTCCCTAAATAGTGCTTGTTGGTTAACTGCCACTGCCCAGAGAGCATGAGAATGCACCACTCTGGATTTGTGAGGCTCCAACTAAAACAGAGAATATTTTCTTTTTCATTTCTCAGCAACTGAGGATAAGCTTTTTCAACAGAAATCAGAATCACCATCTCAGCGGACATTCCTTCCCGAGGAGTCACTTCAAGATAAGTCAACCAAAGAGTCTAGCTGCCCTGTTCCTGGAAGACCTTGGGGCTGTGAGCTGAAGAAAGATGGCCGACCCACAAGGGAGAAGGCTGTGAACGCAAATGCACAGGGTTGTCTCTGGGACACGGTAACAAAAAGGGCCTGAGTCTGGTGAAAAATTCTGAAACCCTCATGCAGGTCCACAGCAGGAGAGACATGACCTCCCTCCCTGCCCACTGCCATCCTCTGACATCAACCGGCAACGGCCACCAAACAGACTGGCTTTCTGTCTACCTGTTTCACTTTGGCCTTCTAAAGAGGAGATAATCTGTCAAACAATAAGAAGAGAGAGATTTCAGACCAACAACCCAAGGCTGACTAAATCTAGTAAAATCAGCTTTTCCTTCCTGTTCAGCTCATTCACAGGAAAGAGCACCTTCATTTAATATAATAACTTAGTGATGTGCTTCTCCAAAGACTAAAATAGTGTATCTTCAAGCCTTTATATGACTAGGATGCTCGCCCACATGAGACCTTGAAATCAGTACCTGCGTTTGATGGGCAAGGAGCACCTGCCCCGACAGGCCTGGAGGACCAGCCTGGTGGGAGTCCCTGTATGTGGGAGAAGGGCCGTACCAGCAGCCAGGAGAAAATGGCTGATTCTCACTCAGCACACAGGGAGGGGAGCTCCCAGGAAGGAGCTCTATGTGGTGTCTGGATGGGGTGTACCAGGCCTGGGAGCCCTTCAAGGCTGGGGCAAAAAACCAAAGGAACCCCAAGACATCAGCACTTCTGTGGAGCTAGGCAGGAGATCCTGGGTGTGGCGTAGGGAAGCCTAGAGGAGGATGCTGGGCCATCAGTGTGGGATTGTAAGCACTTCTGCGGGGAACAGGGACCAGAAGAACAAACTGGGCAACACGAATGTGTCCTTTATCCTCGGTCAGACATCTGTGAAAGGGCAAAGCTTCCCTCCACACATTCAGTGCATTTGCTGGGCCAGCTCCTTTGAGGCCCTCCAACCTCCTCCATGGTGAGGCCCACCTGAGAGGAGACTGGGCTCCAGAAAGACAGCGGGCACTTGAAGGGAGAGAGGGCCTTCCTGAGAAACGAGGTAGCACTGAGAGGACAGGTGGAGAGACAACTGCCAGGTGGCAGTAAGGACAATGACCCCTGGCCCCTCCCCAGCACACACTCGCAAGTTTCTTTAAAGACAAGGTTGGATCAAAGGACTGGACAGCCGGGGCTGCGCCTCCTTCACTAGCCAAAGGCGGGGCCTCCTCCACTGCTGACAGCTCGGCCTTCCAAGGCTCCCGCCCCCAGCCGTCCTCACAGGCCTGGCTCACCTCGCGCATCTCATGATTCCAACTCCAAGTGTGTTTCTAATCATGGCTTGTGGAAATTTACCCAGAGGATGACTAAGTGCACAGTGCAGTCTGCCTTGATCCGGTGGGGGCAGAAAGTGACCAAGTGGAATTAGCTGTTTCTCCCACCAGAGGACCAGGCCCCAGGCCAGCCACACTACAGCTGGGTACGTGCAGTCACGATGGGAAACCCAGGCCAGGGATCAGCCTAAGCCTCTAAATCCAGAAGGGAAGGTTCCGGGTTCATGTCTAGAGACCCTCCCCCAAGTATGTCGGGCAGGCACATACTTATGATCTGAGGCTGGGGGAGCAGTCTCTCTATCTCCCTCCATCCCTGCCCCTCATGAAAGAAATAAACTTTAAAAATAAATTAAGGGCCAACCGTACAGCACAAGGGTTAGTGCCGTGTGGAGAGAGCCAGATCCCATACAGCTAACTGGTTCTAATCCCAGCATGGGCAGCTTGAAACACATGCTAGCATGCTCGGATCCTGACAGGAAGGAGACAGAGGAAAGGGCATTGTGGTGAGACAGGGTCCCGCTGGGGAGGCTTTCTGTCTCACGTGCACTCTCACTTGCTCTCTCTGGCGTGTGCACGTGCTCTCTGGCATAAAAATAACAACAACAAATAAAGTAAGTGTTCTGGGACTGTTTCTTCTCCTTCCCTGGAGTAAGAGCTGCAGGATCCCTTTTTCGCCTGGCGCTTACAGACGCAGGACTGCTAACGGTGGACAAGGGCAGTGTGCACAGAGCGGGGCAGCCTTACCAGAGCCTGTGAGCTCCTGCGTGGAGACCCTGGGCCTTCAGGGACAGCACGCGTACCTGCACACTGGTGTGCACTGTGGACCACACGCACAGCTCATCGGGAGGCCAATGCCAGACCGCGCGGGTCTTCTCACTTGGAGGAAAGTCACTGCCTGCTTCAGTTCTCCCCACAGGGGCTGTGCCTTGCTTCCTCATGCCTACCCTCCCTGTCCCAAATGAAGGGGCTGCCAGGAGTGGCCACAGACAGGGACAAGGACAGGCAAAGCAGGCCACCTCTGGCATCTGCCATTGTGTTAGCACTTCCTGGAACCAAAAGCCACACTTTCCAAGAACTGGCATACAGCTAGAACTTACTGGCCTGAGTCAGGTCCACGTACAGGAAAAAGAAAAGGACGTGAGTGTTGCTACCCAAGTCCCTAGACTCGCCGCACTGCTGCCAGAGACTAGGAGCTAGGCAAGCTCTCCTATCCCTTGTCTCCCAAGAGTCCACAGTATAAGTCCCCGGTGGCAGCGCCGCACCTCTGAGCATCCCGGAGATGTTCAGCCTCGCTCATAGCCTACCGTGCTCTCCGGGGAAGGTCCTCCTAACACAGGCCTTCGCCGAAGCAAACCCCAAGATGGAACTCATCCTTGACACAATTAAAGGGGTGATTAATCACAGCAGCAGACAGCTAACTATAGCCTGCAGGGCACTGTTTCTAAGGACAATTTACCTCGCGAACACTCCTACGCACAGATCGGGCTGCTTTGTGCAGAGATCGCAACGCTCTCACAGACGTTTCTTCCTCTGAAATCCCCCATGTTCATCAGAGCCATGCACCCCAGGTACTTACAGCTCTTTGAGGTTCTTCATCTTCACGAAGGCATCGAACTGCACAGACCGGATTGCGTTCTCTGCAAGGTTCCTGAAAGTGAACACGATTACTTAGGCAAAGAAACACCCTTCTAGTCAGCCACGCGCTTGAGCCAAGACACTCGGATGTTGTTCCAGGACAGCCCTGGATTCACAGCTGACCCACAGGTCCTGGGCAGTCCTAATGCTCCTGGAGGTGGCTCCCACTTCACGTTCACAGCATGTGGAATGACCCAGAGCCACCCTTATGGACATTGAAGCTAGGTTTAGGCCTGCTCACCAAGCCTGCAGGCAAAAATCCTTTCCAACCAAATTGCAAACTTGGCTCAAAGGCGACAAGTTAAGAATCACACAGTGGAGCCCTCTGCCCTAGACAGCATTACGGATGTCTCAGGGCTGACTTTGCTCTTCCTTTCTTTCTTCCTTTCTTTCTTTTTTTTTGAGAGTTTTTTGTTATAGAGTGCATGCGCTCGCCATACAGAGAGAGACAGAGAGACAGAAAGCGAGAAATCACCCCTCGGGGGGATGGCCATGCCACAATCCCTTCTCTTCCATTCTCCTCTCAGGATCCTGGGCATGCACGCACAAGCGCCCGGCGTGAGTTTTAAGCCACCGGGTCCGGGACGTGA